ACAACCTAAATAAATTAATTAATAAAAAGTAAAGATAAATGAATAAATATACATAAATGAGCATACGCTATACATTTATAAAAGGAATCAAACATAATATTATTAATTACCTTTTTGACACCTGTATTGCTAGCTCTTTAAATCCTTGAATTATATTTGGAAACATTGCTATGGTCTCGTCTAGATTTAGTGAATTGGGTTGTTCAGAAATTATTTTGACAACACCAAAATCTTTAACTCTATAAAATTCAACAAATTCATCAATAATTCTTATTGTGGTTACACTTTGGTCTTGTTTTACTAATATTCCATTATCACTACCGAGCATTTTTGTAATTTCTCGTTGTACGACGTTAGAAGGAACTGATTGTTTACTTTCTTTGATAGGATTGCAAATACTATCAAAATAGGATTTTGAATCATTAAATTTATTTAAATATGTACGACCAGTAAAAGCATTCCAATTCCTTTTAACATCAAATAAATTAGTATTATCGCATTTAAGTGTGTAAATGATATCTGGCTTCTCTGGTATTTCATGTCGTATGGCAAAAGATGTTTCCACATAGGGATGATCAAGTGCTATATTAAATCGTACACCAAGATCTCTTGATCCATAAATTGAATCTTTGGCAAATTCAGAAATTACTTTGAATGCTTGTTGACCATCAATATGAGTTACTTCGCAATCAATATTCGATGGGTCAATAGTGTCATTAAAAACTTTAATTTTCTAAAATATATGTGTGTTAAAAGCATTACTAAATGAGATTCAGACAAATAATAAACATAAGTTACCTGCTCCCCATTATCAACAACGGAATAAAATGTCATATTCGTATAAAAAGCAAATGCTGCGAAGCAATCTGAACTAAATTTTGTGTGCGCATCTTTTAAATCATTAAAGAGATGTTTAACATCTATCTATTATATAAGATTATTAACAGTTAATGTAAGGATTAAATAATATTTAAATATATATACGGTAAAATAAAATTGAACAGTTACTATAAAATCATATAAACTTGCATAATATTTATTCTGAAGAAGTTCTAATTCGGCTATTAAATCCATAGGCCTAAAATCGAACCCAGGTTGTGGAGGCTCTTTTGCTTTATCCAAAAATGAATAGAACCCATTGATAAGACCAGTCAAAGTATCGATCGTCTGAAATTTTTAGCATATATTATATGATAGATTAGAATACATTTCATATATTGTAATTTTATTTATGATACAAATATTATTTTTATGCACATATATATATACCTTAGAAGCAACGTCTTTATCAAACAGAAAGCTTTCGTAACAATCTTTGACATCAGTATAACTAAAATTAGTTTTTTGTTTTGTAATAAATTCATTATGAATCCTTGCGCATCCATCAATAACAGGTGTCTCTCGTGGAATTATATAAGACTGTGGAATTATATAAGACTGAACATTCACGGCCGAGATAAATAAAAATACGAATAATAATCTATAAAAATTCATATTTAAATGATTACTAGTTTAACGTATTTGACCTGATTAACTTTTATCTTCTTATTATCTAAAGTATACGTGTATATGTGTATTGTCATTTATTATATATATTATTTTTTTTTAGTTTGA